GGTTTGCCCTGAGGTGGAAGTCACTGATTCCCACTCCATAAGACCGAGAGAGAAAGGAACACATGGGCTTGGGTTGCCAACTCCAGCTTAGGAAATTTCTGGAGATTTGGGGGAAGTGCCTGCAGAGGCGGAGGAGGGGAGGCAGCTCGGTAGGGATGTGATGTCACTCTGGGGCAGGGGTCTCCAGTGTGGTCCCTGTGAGCACCATGGTGCCAGCTGGCACCTTTCCTGGCACCTGCCAAGTGTTCTTAAAAAATTCAGCAGAGCCAAGTGATTTTTTGCCCAGCGGGGCTTTCCACTGGCCGTTGAAGATCTGATTGTCTGTACGGATTTTTTTTTTAAAGTTGCTTCAGCAGCAATTTTTAAAAGTTGCTTCAGCGGCAGCTGACATCACAGCATGAGGAGCTTCAATGTAGTATGGCTGAAGGTACGCTGTGTGTATGTAAGAAAATATTTTAAACAATATGTTCGCTCTAAAATGCAGCTTGCTTAACAGAGCTTCTGCCTGAAATGTTGAAAAGTCACGATCAGAGTTATGCACCACACTTTGTGGTTGGCTTCGCCTCCTGCGGCAGCCATTTTGTAGCTGCACCCACCACCACGCGTCAGAATTCCAAAGGTGCTCACAGGCTCAAAGCAGTTGGGGACTCCTGCTCAAAGGCTTCTACCTCTCCTAAGCTCTACTGGATATCTTGGGAGTCCACCCTCTGAAACTGCTGTTTCCTCCAAGGGGGAGTGATCTCTGTAGTCTGGACATCAGTTGCAATTCCAGGAGATCTCTGCCAGGAAAGGGCTGCAGCCCCCAAAGCCTGCCAACCAGTGTTCCCTCTAAGCTGAGTTAGCGTGAGCCAGCTCACAGTTTTTTAGCCTCTGGCTCACACATTTTTGTCTTAGCTCAGGAAGGAGGGCTCCAGAGCGAACTAATTTATGCAGCAGCCAGATCGCTCGCTCACCACTTTAATGCTGGTAGCTCACAAAGTAGAACTTTTTGCTCACAGGACTCCGTAGCTTAGAGGGAACATTGCTGCCAACATGCTGATCCGGGGTGGGGTGAGGGAGGTCCCCTATCCCTCAGATGCAGCATTTCAGAGGGCATTCTGGGCTGCAGTGTAGGGGGCAGTGTTCCCTCTAAGCTGAGTTAGTGTGAGCTAGCTCACCATTTTTTAGCCTCTGGCTCAAACCTTTTTGTCTCAGCTCAGGAAGGAGGGCTCCAGAGCAAACTAGTTTATGTAGAAGCCAAATTGCTCGCTCACAACTTTAATGCCAGTAGTCACAAAGTAGAATTTTTGCTCACAAAACTCCACAGCTTAGAGGGAACATTGGTAGGGGGCAGGTGAGGAAGTCATGGTTCACCAACAGAAATCCTCCTGTCAAAGGAAACACTCTGTGGGATCCCAGTTAGAAAATATAAGTGAGCCATGTCTGCATAACACTCTGCTTATCCATTGCCATCCACTTATCCACTGTAATGCCCAGAGATGAGATCAAGTGTAGAAGAAAGGAGGCGTACAAAAAGGCTGAGCAGGCAAGGGCTCTGATCTTTTGTGAGTGACACTGTGTTAGAGGAAGTTAAACTCTGACAGAATGGCACTTTAGACGCTAACTCAGAATGAGACTAAACTGGAAGAGGGGAGTGGAATTTTTGAGCCACCTCTCTTCCTCACTCAGGGAGAAGAGGAGGAGGATCTGAAAGGTGAGAGGCCTTTCTGACAAGGCTGCTTTCGTGCCCCTCACCACCTCTCACCTGTTTTTGAGGTGTGCCTCCAGGTCACATCGTTGCATTACTTCCTCACACACGGAGGAAAAGGGACATGACACTAAGAGCTTGTCGAGCAGTTTGTGAACAAGGATGCTGGATTTTTTGCACAGCTTAAAGTGAAGCCTTTTGCGATCCAAAGGGCAGAAGTCCTTCTCCTGCAGGAAATTCCGTAGGCACTTATAGCAGAAAGTGTGACCACAAGGCGTGTCTAATGGCTGTAGCAAGGGTTGAAGGCAAATATGGCAGACCAAGTCATCGTCCACGTCATTCTGGTAATTGTACAAGTGGTTCTCTCTTGTCCAATGTTGTTGGCCACATTCAAAGCACAGAGGGTTCAAGTTCTGCTCTGCAGAAACCATCTCTTCATTTTTGGTGCCCATGATCAAGCAAGGGAGGGTAGGACTGGCTTCCTCATCAGTGGACGCCTACTTGTCGGAGGGTACTTCTTGTTCTTCAGTGAGTGTTCATTTTCCTGAAACGTAAATAAAAACTATTGAAGTTCACTAATGAAACACAGGAGGAACAAAGACTACCTGAAGTGCATTCCCAATCCAAACTACAAAAGGGAAGTACTTTTCTTTCTCTCGCTCTATGTCTAGTTCTGCATGTTCTATGCCTTGAAGTTCTGTGCCTTGAAGAGTGCAGATTCTGCACCAAAAAAGTCATTTTCTGCAACCAGAATGGGTCATGAAACTTGACACCATTTAAAAGGAGGGCTGTCCTACATGCTGCATGGAAATGCATGTAACAAAACCCTGATGGCCCCAGCTAGGGAAAGCAATGCTGGGAGAGGCTGATCTGAACACCTTCCCTGCTGCTCACTGCTTTTTTAGGGTAACCCTCTCTCAACACTGCTTGTTCTTAGAATACGGGGGCCCTTCGGTTTCATTACACATCTCTGTGTGCACAGAACAGTTTGGTCCTGGGGAATGCAGGTAACTGAAGCTTCACACTCAACCACTGGAAACCCCATTCAATTGTTTCCATAGCTTCCAAGATACTAAAACGGGCATCTAGAAATTTGCTTTAAAAATGCAAAGTGGAGATTCTTGGAAGGCTGCATTCTGCACCCGCTACCGCATTATGAATTTTTTCTGCACATCCATATAGAATCAAAACACATTCATAGTCCTGCTCAAGGTCAAAATTTTACATAGGATATAAATGCATAGCAGGTCCCGCACAATGCAATCATTTCCCCATGTTTATATGCCAGCTATTATGTACTTTTAGGCTATAAGGGATCATAAGGGTAAAAACAGCTGGGGCATTCATGGTCAAAAGAACACAATCCATTTTACTATCTGCCACAAAAGAAATGCTCTTATGGTGCTGTAAGATCAGGAGATCCAATGAATCAAATCTGACCTTTAAAACAGGAGAAACTACAAGTACATAAGCATCAAAGTGTAGTTCCATTTTCCTCCATGCCTCCTTTTTCAGGCTTCTTATGAATATTAGGGAGTACAAAGCCAGCGTTTGCTCATTTGCTAACCTCTGAAACAAATCATTAGCACAGACCACACATGTGCCATCCTAATGTATGTGGTGCTGATATTTATTACTGCTTTTTTGAAAGGGTCAGTCATTCCGATATACACATGTGATATCTGGTGAGCCTGGGCAGATATAACGCTGGCTCTCTGCTAACCAAGATTAGCAAACCAGGAGCTCACCTAGCAAATGTGCATGTTCTCTCTGCAGTTCTCGTTCCCTCCCTGGAACATTAATTGGCCCTCCCTTAACCTGAGATTTATAATTTATTTCAAACTGCCATTTCAGATCCTGGTTTAAGAGAAACCCTGGCTAGCTTTAACGATGGACAATGTCAGACTCAACAAACTGTTTAACCAGGGTTAAGAATTAGGTTGGTTCAGGGAGGAGAGTGGGTGTGGGTAGGGAGTGTTCCTTCCCAAGCCTGGCTGCCTATTTGCTAACTGCAGTTATTAGGCCGCCAGTGGAACGTCTGCTCTAGCCTAATAAATACACACACGCATCTGATCTGCGGAATGAAGAGCAAGTCACGAAGACAGGCTACTATTATAAATAGGTTTCATAATTAATAGCTGACATCCAATACTCCGACTTTTCAGCCTAATGAACTAAAACAGCATAGCACAATGAGATGGAAAGTCACATCAGATGGGGATGATTAAAATGTCAATCCCAGCCAGCACTTAGTGTTCACAGGTTTAATAAGAATGCCTCCCCATGAACATGTTAAGTAAAGTAATCAATAACAAGACAAGTATCGCAGAAGTCTAAACAACAGGCAAGGCCCCCAATTCAAGGAAGGGGGACCTATATAGCTCAGTGTGTCTGGCTCAGGCCTCAAGCCCAGTTAAAAGAATCTCGGGGAGCATGCTGGGAGAGAACTTTGTGCTGGAGAGCTAGGATCTAACATCCCCATTACAAGGGCACTAGGGGACCACCCTGCTACAACAATGCCCACAACCACTGCTCTTAGAGGGCTTCAGGGGGCAGGATTTGGTCATGAGTTATTTAAGACCCTTCCCCATCTTCCCTCCCATACTTCAAGTAATGCTTGGAAAGCCGCTGCCACGCAAGGTCGAATCACAGGTCTGATTCACCACAAGGCACCTGCTTATGCCTGTTCTCTTATTACAAACATTCCACTACTGGAAGCAAAAAGTGGCCCTGAAATGAAGTGATTAACATTCTTGTGTCTTACTTGTAATAAACATTTTCATCTGTAAAGGGGTTTATTCTCTCTTATCAGGTCTTCGTTTCATTTCCTGTATGTATAGTAATAGTGCTCGTCGCAGCAAAATTAGGCACTTCCAAATGAGATAATTCCCTTTATTTGTTCCATATAAAGATGCTGCACCATACTTTCAACCTATAGTGAATGCTAAGGTGTATTTTATTTTTTTAAATAATGGCTTATAACAAATTTCAAAGCTCGAGGCTTGGTTTTTTTTTCAAAAATGAAGAGAAATTCTAGCACTTAACATTTGGTATTATACTTATGACAATTCAAATTGCGTCACTTACATTCTTTTGGTAATCCTTATGTCAGTACTATTATTATCCCCATATTGCAGTAGGTGGGGGAAGACTGGAAACAGTGGCTGGCCTAATGCTACTGGAGTTCAATGGACTCGAACTGGCCTAACACTGCATAGGAGCATACTGCAAGACTCTTAAATGTAGCCATAAAAAGGAGAAAATATGTGGATGTCTCCCAGGAAGTCATTCATTTTACTTCAGTGTCTGTCATTTTGTTTGCAAGGTTGTTATAGATTCTAACTTCATTTAGCTGAAGACAAGACTTTAGGTACATACGGCACAGACTTATGACATCCTTTGATGCAGAAAGGATTAAAGACCAACTGGTAATCCAAGATACCATACTGGTCAGGGAACTGAGACTCCTCACTGCCCTATCTTGTTGCAAAGATAATGCGCTCCTTGCAGGAGGGATTATGTTGTAGAGATTCCTTGCTACTGATGACACAGTTACGTAAAACCGGCAACATTAATCTTATTTTCTCCCCAACAGAGTGTATGGAAATTAGATCTTTGATTATGAAATAAAAGTAAGGTATGAGAAATACAACAAGACACAGATATACTACTCCTCCACACAAAATATGGTTCATTACATCTGTGGGTACAGATTATCAGATGTTATTAGATTAATTATAATGATCAGATGAATTAAATTAGATAATTTATGACATGAATTTGATATTATTTTACAGGATGTCATCAGTAAAAATTACTCAGTCCAAGGCCATTCCGTTCAAATCAATGGGCCCACTGGTGGACCTCCTGATGGCATCTGGTATTTTTGGCCACTGTATGACAGAGTGTTGGACTGGATGGGCCATTGGACTGATCCAACATTGGCTTCTCTTATGTTCTTACATTCTTATGTTCTAATGGAACACCAGTGGTTTGAAAATTCTTCCTATAACAATAATTACATTAAAAATCAATATTCTGTATCCCAAGTGTATACTTCCTAGCTAAGATTCAAATCTATACAACTGATATGGCTGCTGAAGATTCCAGAATGCACCAGCCACAACATGTTTTTCTATCACCTTTTTCAAAGAACAGCAAAGCTTCTTAGTGAAAAAAACAAGACCAGCTGCAAACCCATTTTAAAAGGATCACAGTCTGAAAGACACAAGCACCTCCAGTATTAGCTGACAAATTTATTCTGGTCTAGGCATGGGAGATCTAATACGTGCAGCTAATGCCAATTTATTAGCACCTGCATTATAATGCCCACTGCTGATGTAGATATAAAGGCACATCCCCACTTGGGGAACCAGTTGTGTGCTGTCAAGGTGTCCTGTACTCTGCAATCTGGCCCAGTCAAGTTTCCTCAAGTGGTATCAAATCCTTGGCCCTGGGGCCAGTCACAGTTGAGGAGCCAGAGTTCATAACACAAGGCTTCCATCCAGGGTCCAGCATACCTAAGGGACCGCCTTGCCCCACATAGACCCCAGAGAGCACTTCGGTCGGGGTTGCTACACCGTCTCGTGATCCCGGGCCCGAAAGAGGCCAGGCTTGTGGCCACTAGGGCTAGGTCCTTTTCGGTGGCGGCTCCTATCTGGTGGAATGAGCTCCCAGAGGAGATCAGGGCCCTGCAGGACCTGCTGCAGTTCCGCAGGGCCTGCAAGACGGAGCTCTTCCGCCAGGCTTTCAAATAGGAGCCGCCGCCGCCGCCACCACTACCACCAATGGGGCCTGTTACAGCGCCACCGGAAGCCAATGTGGCAATAACATCAGGAGGCCACAGTAACCTCCCCTGGGGTAGTGCAATAGGGAGAGAGGGTTTGAGTCACGTGGGATCCTTGGGCGTGGCCCATGTATTAAGTGTTTTAAATTGTTTTATTGCTGTTTTATCGCACTACGTGCCTATTGTTGTAAGCCGCCCTGAGCCCGCAATGCGGGGAGGGCGGGGTATAAATAAAATTAAATAATAAATAAATAATAATAATCCAGCAAGGCTGTCTTCCCAGGGCTCAGCTTAAGTAGGCTGAGGGGTAATTGGGCCCAGCTGCACTGCTGGCAGGTGTTGGGAGTTCCTGAGGCTGCACTGTGCTCTGGCCAGAATCTCTCAAAGCACTTGTTCTAGATCCACGGTGGGCTTGCGCGCAGCCAGCCTGGCCCTTTGCCTCCTTTGCGATACCTCACCCCGGGCCTTCTGCTGCCACCATTTCTGCAGAGCAGGAGCAGATGCGTGGGGGTTATGGGCTTGGTTTCATGTCCTGCCTGGGAGAGGCCTGGTGACTTATCTCAGGGACTAGTGGCGAGGTCTTCCTGGTAGGCTCTGGTAAGGTAGCCTCTGGCAGTGCTAGAACATTGTCAGCAGGTGCCTCTACAGTGACGGAGAAGAAGAAGAGCAGGAGTTGGTTTTTATCCCCTGCTTTTCTCTATCCTAAGGAGTCTCAGAGCAGCTTACAGTCGCCTTCCCATCCTCTCCCCACAACAGGC